GCGAAGAAAACAAGTAGATTTATCCACTAAAAGATGAAAATCGAATAGCTACACGAAACCAGTATAGCGGAACTCCACGGTTCCATCATGGCTGGAATGCAGAAAGATGAACAAATGCTTTGCTATCGCTAGGACATACATCCAATTGTATTTGTTTTGTATAGTTTGATTTAAACCAGCGATGAACTATTTGCTGGCTTTGATTACCTTTGTTCTAGCGAAAAATGTTATGCAGACCACATAAAACAAGGTTGAACGTTTTGTCGAGCTATCGATAACAAATAGGGAGTGAATTGCTGATATGGTGATGGATGAAAACAATTTATTCCTGTTCCTTACGGCTTTTACCGGTCTACCGTAGAACAGGTGTGGTCCTCACATGAAGGACATGCACTTTTGCTCAGTCAATAGACCATCTGGAGTAACAATCGCAGTTTTCCGTGTGAGTTTGTCGCGTTTTTTATCTGTTTTCTCCTCAAATGTGAACGTACTGGTAATCTGTGAAATGAACTTCGATCCATGTGGTTATAATGGCGCTATAGTTCATTTGCTGGCTAGGACTTCGGTTTTGTGGTCTGGGCTTGGGTGATCATATGTGTGGTGTGTGTGTGGTTAGAAAGTTCTCAGAATTAAATAATCCTGTGGGAACTGTCATTTTTATACCGCTACACATAATCGCTGTTTATTAGGACACAAGGATTCAATCCGTTTTATTTTAGTGGGTCAGCAGACTGCTTATCCGTGATGCAACTTTGTGCGTCACCACTGAGTACGTTTGGAAGCGGCTACATGTAAATACAGTATTCACTGTCCGGAGAGGGCTTCATAAAGGAAACTACTCACAAGGTTTCGACGGTCCACGAAGGTTTCGCTCATCTTGGGGCTCATCAAGTAGGTGCAGTCCCCGAGTTTGGGTCAACCTTATGTTCTACCTGAACGGATTTTGGATAAATTTCGATGGACACACTCATTAGCGCATCAACTTGATTTTAATGAAGGACTCAACTGAATATGATACTGTACGATATAGCGAGTATCTCACCAAATGAAACATGAGGTGGCTTTGAGCAGCACACTGAGTTGAAAGTATCATAAACGACAGATTCAGCTGAGTCTCCCGTGAAAACCAAATGAATGTATCGGTCGAAAGGAGGGGTTCCCTCTACCATACTCCTTTTCAACTCGATGAACTCACACTATAGCTGAATTGCGCTGTCATCGAGATTGCGTCTGACGGGATTCTTCTGTCGTTTTCACTTGATAATTTTTCATAACTGCTTTGCATTTCAGCTTGAAAACCGAAAGATTTGGTATTTCTGAGCAAATTTCCTGATCACACTGAAGAGAATTGAAAATAACAAACAGATAAACTAGGTCGAATTTTTATTACAGTGCGGTATAAGCCACTGGGTTTCTACGAGGCTACCTGCGGGCCAGTCGACAGTGTTAATATCACAGGCCGAATAGAACACGGCTGAAGTGCAAGTTATAACTCTTCTGTGTGAATTACAGACTATTCTTGCGACAATTATGTCGTTTTACAGAAACCGAGGTCACCGAAATGTGACTGAACAGGTGATAATATAGATTTGTGATATAAGGAAAGAAGATTGTCTGTTTTTTCCTACTTTTGCGTCAGCTAGATTGGAGCCAAAATCGATAGCTCAACCATAATCAACGCCATCTTGTAAGTAGATGTCTTTCATATGAAGAATAGACACGCTAATCGATAGGACGCAGAATTCAATAAGAACATTTTTACTTACATGAGACACAGATGAGGGACTAATTTTCCAATTTCCTAATGAGGCATGTACAATGGCGATCATTAAAACAGAACAGGTTCTACTGTGTCCAGTTTAGAACTGATGGTTAAAACCTATGCGATATCGAGTGAATTTCACAATGCTTTATGGTCGCATGGTTTATCCAAAATGCTGAATTGTGTACAATATAGCAGTTGTTCGTACGGTTCCGAGAGGACAGCCATACACGAACTATGTCGCGTGGTGGGAATAGACAGAACATGCAAGACAGCTTTCTACTTATGGCGAAAAGTGTAAAGTAAGGGGGGGGGGCAAAAAGCTTAGTCGTTTACCTCCAGGAGGCTTTTACAGGACAGAATATGAACAGATGAAATCAAGCACTGCCGAACGGCATGTTGACTTACAGGAGTGCTGTGCGGACAGACTAATCAATGATTCGGATAGGATGCCGTCATCATGAGGCCACGTTTCTTAAATGATTCCCAGTAAACTGTTCCGTCGAAACGTTGATGTAAAACTGCCGGATTAGGGTCTTAACGCCAGAATAACTGCGTCATGGCCTATGCCCAGAATTAACTTTTGACTTAACACTTGTTCCAAAACGTTCGCAGGAAGTATCACGAAAATTTTCCTCACTTTGTTTTAATAAAACTGACATACTGTTGTCAGCAGTGGTAGTGGTCTGCACAAAAACTAACCTCAATGGGTACAGCTGCAATCAGAAGTGGACCAAAGTTTTCATACTGTAGCTAACAGCATCAAGCTTCACTCGAAATTGTTGCATGCTTGTAAGTTAAACAGATGATGCGAGGACTGCTCCTAGGTTAAGATATTACTTTTATGAGCGCCATGCTTCACAACCTAGCTAACTATCGATATCCATTCATTTCCATTTGGCCTGTTCGCATAAAAGGGCTAATAGTTCCAAAATAAGGGGTCTATCAGTGGCGTGACTCTGACCGTTGTAAGCTTGAACGAATCATTCTTAACCAGATATCTAAGTGACCCTCATGACTGCATGAGTACGTCGTGCTGACCTTACACTGCCTTTGAGCACACTTCGGTCTTGTCACATACGGTTCTGATGAGGTGCGCTTCCAGATGACAGTTTGTCTTGTATCGTCGTTCGAAACCAAGCACATAACAGCTAGAGAGGCTGCATTTTTTGCCATGCGTCGTGGCTGTCACCATCAAGTGGAACCGACTATCGATACTTCAAAACGACAAATATGGACTACATTTGCGAACATACTGAGACAGTTAAAGAATTCCCATATAGTATGCACTGTGGTACTAGATTTTAACTACACCGAAAGCCTGAAAAGTATGGAACAGTTTTATACCCGTGTTTATTGGCATTGTAATAACTGTTCGGGAAGGCGGTCAAATGTGACGGCTCGTTTACAAACCCACAGAGTCACTGTTGAACTGCCATCAGCTTAGTGGACATTGCGGGTCTCTATTTGTCGGGTGCATACATATCGTGCGCCTTCCGGTTTCGAATTCCTGGTGGTCATTTTCGTACCTTCGTTACTTGTATGGCAGTAATCGCGGTTGATAAGGGCCTGCAGAAAATATCATCCCGCTCAGACCTCTTCCTTTCATCCAATTCAGAATCATATTCAGCCAAGTTTGAACCAAAATGCGTTGGAGATTTCCCAAAGCTGTCATCTTTCCCTGAAGTGAAGTTCGTCTCGATGAACTTCAGCGTTAATTTACGTAAATGTACAAGATGGGTGCTATTGGTCATTTGAAGTAAACATGAATGGCCATAAACCTGAAACGCAATGAAGAATTTGTGACAAGTCTCTGAAGAGTCTTAGATTTCCGAAATTATTACCTTACCTGTGATTGTCTGTTTGAAGAAACTGCATTTATTCCTGAATTGTTGTAAGACAATTACTGCCTAAGTAGTTCTGACAGGATTTTACCCGTCTGGCTTATTAGCATTCTGTTGTAGAGAGTTCTATTTGTTGATAAGAATGACAAAGAGCATTCCACTCAGTTGAGAGCTCATCTCGACTGTCACAATGAGAGACGCTTTCTTGTATCCATTCTGGACTTAGATGTCGTGTTTTCCAAAGATTTCTGGCAATCCATCGGATGGGTTTTCTATTAGCTGTAGTCCTTGAAGTTTGTTCAGTCTAGTTACCGAGTTTAGTTCGCAAAGCTGTCAGGGCTATTGTCAGTTGTTTTGGATTGTACTACGTCTAACTTTGTCGGTAGATCAAGTAGGCGTTCTCCTATAATTCTGGTTAAAGCTAGCTTCCTGGTAAGCCACATCGGACAAGGTCATATGAAACTATGCACCCAGAAAGCCGTTACTAAACATCCTTCCAAATTGCCAACTTGAGATTTGGACGGTTCCCATAGATGCAATTGTTTGACCGTCTACTCTGCGCAATGAATGTGAAAATGTTTCTCATCACAAAACCCTGCTGATCAGGTTGGTGAGCACTCCAATCTATCCACTACAGATTTTGTCCCCTTTGGGTTTCAGCACGGAAACCCAGTTTCCAAATTCTCATTGATTCCATTTCGTATTTCAACACCATATTTTATGTATGCTGCGGCAAACACTCGTTTGCAAATTAACTTGACGTTTACGGCAGATTATAGCTAAAATCTATCGTTTTCTAATACTCTTACATGATTGATAGCTGTCTATAGAGGAAAATGTTGGTGGCTCAAGTAGCTTAGATGGTCGCTGGTTTGTTCGCTGAGCTGGGCAGTTTGATTGCTAACGTTTCATCACCAGTAGAGGTGACATCATCAGTAGTGATGTATAGCGATGGATTGGTGGTTGTGGTTGGAGGCACAAACCAACGACCATGATTGATAATGAATAACAACCTAGAATAATAGTCAGTTGATCAGCAAAACAGTTATGTTTTCATAAAACACTCAGTTTTTCGAGTTGTGTGTCTCAGTCTGCTGTATTGTTGGAGTTGCAGACCACATCGCTGTTTTTGTCCATCTCCGAAGTAGGCAGGATACGGTGACAATAACACGTGACTCCATTACGAAGGCATTCGTGTTGCGACGACAGTTCGAGCATTATCGCCAAACTTGCTGCCCTCAATTTAGTGTGGAGCACATGAAAGTTACATAATTGTTTACACCATCCTCTGCACAAAACAAAGAGTGAATCAGAGTTTGAACAAACGGCTCCATAAAAATGGCGAAAAGGCTCGGGCATCAGGTTTGTATGCCGTCGCATCTCAGGTAATATGTTCAGCTGTAGCACCCTTTCGGTGCCATGCCACCCGAAGGTTGCACGAGGGCTAGGATATTGCCAGGTTGCCCAAGCCTAGACAGGGGAATGAGAGAGGCAGAGGTCGGGTTCGAACCACCGACTTTCCGGTCAGTAAATTCGCGCTCTAACCACTTAGACCATATCGCCCCATACCGTTGAATAATAAAGTATCATAGTGGTTAGAATGTTTCCACTTGAAATCAGCTGATTCTGCGTTGCAATTCGGAAAATGTACGTGCTATGCTGGCCAAAAACCATTGGTGCGCGAGTTTAGAATCTACTCTGGAGTGAATTTCCGTACACCGAAAGCTCTATATCATCGGTCACAGTATACTGTGTTGTTGCATTTCTGTGCTGCTAAGTGTTTCAGAAGTCTGCATCATTCTCGAGTGATTTCGAAGAAAGCTATTCCACGAATTTTTTACGAAGTAAGTTATCTCACTAAAAGGCATTGAGAAACAATTTGCCAAACCCAATACTGTGCCTTAAAAGGGACTCGTAAGAATTCTGAGTCTGTGACAGGTATCGACCGACTTGATCGATCATCCTTGGAACCATTTCACACGACAGTTTACTGGGACTCAAATTGTACTGATAACCAGCTCTCTGTGGTTTCGTCCTTTCGTGACTGTTCACTCCACTATCTATTCCAGTTTTAACCGTTAGATGTGCACTGAATTGGAACGGTAGTTTTTTCGTTATTCGTGGTGGTATCAGCTGAGCTAACAAGGTTGATCAAAAGTCGTAGCGCTTTTCGTAAGATCTGTGGAAGTGACTGCACTATTAGATAAGGCGGACGGCCATGATTTACTTTAAGCTATTTTTTGGTACCATGTTGCTAGGTGAACCTAAGTGACCCAACGCGACTGGGCAGCTCTATGGGAAACCATATGGTAACCCTGTCTGGAGGGATTGATTAGACAACATACTAGACCTGGTTAAGTACACCCCTGTGGTCACCATATGAAGGCGCATGGCGTCTGATCGAACATTCAATGGAGATACTGGGAATATCGATCCAGAATCATGTGCAGGCTTGTGGATCACATGTATGTCTATGCCACCGGCTGGTGGCTCCTGTGTCTTTTTGGCAAGTAGTACACATGAACCCCACACTAAAAAATGTCCAACTCAGTCAAACTATGGGCTTGATCAAACACAAGTGGCGGATCACCCGTCCGCAAAAACTCGAGGACAAACTGGTACTTTAATTATGGGCGCAAATTTGCAGGCGCTCAAGGTGAGTGTGATGGCAAATCCGGGCCCAAGTTCCGCTGGCGAAGATTTCATTCCAGCTGGAATTCAGGAAGCAGCCAGCTTTCAGCCAATTCGCTGGATGCGAGGCCAGGAATAAGGTCATCATTGGTAGACCATTTAAGCCTTACCGACAGAACGATGCTTATGGATAGTTGCGGGACTCGTAGGACTTGTATGGAGATGACTATTGACATAGAAGCTCCATTCATTTCCTGCTTCACTAAAAATGTTTAGTCCACACAAGAAGGGAGAAGCATTTGGTCCTTTATCGCTCTCCAAAGAGCCCAACAGCGATATATCTTTGACCATTCGGGGTCTTAAACCCTGGACATCCGACTTCGGGTAAGGGATCACATATCAGTTGTGGCTGGTGAGGAGAGCCGGTCAGATGAGCCTAAAGGACTCGGTGCAACTGGCTAGGAAGATGGCAGAGGTACCAGTCGCCATGGCAGAGTAGGACGGGAACCGAAACAGTCCACCTGTGGAGATGTGGTAAAGTAGGTGGCTAGGCTAACCAGAGAACTGGTTACTTCGAAGACAGGATCGAAGCCACGCGCTCGAAGTAACGGATGCAACATCTGTGGTATAGCTATTCATTTGGAAGGCAAATATTTCCGCAATCGATCATATGTCAATAACACGTATTCTGTGAACGTCACTTTTACTGGATGGGCCGCTGTTGACGCAGTAACTCCGGCTGCGATACAGGCGGTGACTGAGACAGAGGGGAAGAGCGAGATGTCCTTGATCGATACAGGGTCAGGGGTATCAAGTAGGCAGAAAATAACAGAGGCCGTAGGCAAAGTGTGCGCATCAGGTCTGAGGATAGTGGGTGGGTATCGGCTTGATCGAAGTGGTTCGTCCGCCTGAAACCTTGAACGATGCCTGACTAAGTGTCTTGTTCCGGCTGCGAGAATTCCCCAGTCACTTCGCCCTACGGACTACTGAAACGTACCAGAAGGTTTCCGACAGTTAGTTAGATAGTTTCATTCAAATCTCTGTGAACTGAACGCAAAACACGTGTGATGAAGTAAGTGTAGAACTGTCGCGTGTCAGTTCTTTCAGTAGCACTGTCACTGTGAAATGACACACATTAGGCTGCGGACAACTCAGTAAACTTCACGCCACTGGGTAATCAGGAGAGCAAAATATTTTGTTTTTAACCATTTACTCTTGCATTAGGGTCTTTCTCATCCGTGACCCCTTGGGTTTATTAACCCCGATGACTTGTCCGAGCGGAAAAAGTATGATCGAAATTCGCAAAAGCTGCAGTTCTTGCTGGACGTTCGGATTGGGTCTGAGGGCTTCCCTCCGCCAACTAGCAGGTGAGCAGCGAAACTCGTCCCTTCAATCTGGAGACACGCATACGTCAGCCGCAGTCAATTTCATGTGTCCTAAGTTGACAGCAAGAAAAAATTATTCATTAAAATCTGCGCTAGGCAACGAGCTTCTGATGGATCAAAACAATCCCTGAATAGGTTTGGTGGAAAAGGCAGTAGTTTTAGTGATACCGTAAGCATTGCGTAAAACAAAGTCCCGTAGTCAAGGCGTGTGCTCTGGAGACGGGTGGCAGGGGAAAGCTCAGTTTGGAATGGAGTACGTGACGAGAGGTAACGAACCATGTGTCCGGAGGTCAGCACGCATCGAGTAATTACGTTCTTCTCTCTTGTGAATAAACCTGTTTTATAAATCAACAGTGTATTGGACCAAAGTTACCGGGTAGCCTCTCGACATTCTAGCCTCGTTTTCATTACTGTTTGGTGGACAAAGTTTAATTGCAACGCTACTGTACTGAACGCACAGACAAGTCCTTTCAGATGTACTGGCTGACCTGCGCACAATTTCGTAGCAATATTCAGTTGAAAGAAGTTTCCCCCTTATATGAAACGGTGTTTATACGAGGCGGAGAAAATCATGGAACTAAAAACAACCCGAGACTGTGTGTGACGAGCAAAAGTACACCGACAGCTCTAATGCAAAAAAGATTCAACCTATTCTAGTTCAAAATGCTTTTGCCTAGAGACATTCACAGCGGTAGTTCACACCAATGATATATTCCACGAGTACCAGACCTCATGTACCCATGTGTTTTGCGACCATCTATAACAAGAAAGCATTGACAATGGATGATGAAGGATGGTTTTTATCAAGCGCAGGTATCTGGGTAGATTTCAAAGTATGTCTGGCCAATACAGCATCATTCAAGTTACTTTGCGTAAGTTGACCGGCAACTGATAAAACTGATCTTGCAGCCAAAAAATTTACTGAAAATCCAAAGTACAAGATATCACAAATTTCCAGTTGGGTTCGAGGTGCAACAGATTACTGCGACTTGAGTGTACTGCGGTTTTTTCATTTAAAATCAATCAATCAATCAATCAATCAATCAATCAATCAATCAATCAATCAATCAATCAATCAATCAATCAATCAATCAATCAATCAATCAATCAATCAATCAATCAATCAATCAATCAATCAATCAATCAATCAATCAATCAATCAATCAATCAATCAATCAATCAATCAATCAATCAATCAATCAATCAATCAATCAGTCAATAAATAAATAAATAAATAAATAAATAAATAAATAAATAAATAAATAAATAAATAAATAATTCAGCTGTAGCACCCTTTTGGTGCCTATCTGCCATGCTACAAGAAGGAGGCACGAGGGCTGGGGTACTGTCAGGTTGCCCAAGCCTAGATAGGGGAAGTCGAGAGGCAGAGGTCGGGTTCGAACCACGGACCTTGCGGTCAGTAAATTCGCGCCCTAACCACTTGGTCCATCTCGCCCCCTTTTTCATTTAAACCTCAAAGAACACTCTTCAGACGGGAGTCACATGAAGTTAGGTAGGTGAGTTAACTTGCAGCATTCGGATATCTACAGGAGAAACAAACGGATGGACCACATTATTCCAAAAAAGTTGTTAGAGTGACAAACAGTAGCAGATTAGTACCACATTCCTTTTCGTGTTTTTGGAATCTACTGAGAGTTTGCAGATATTTTCTAGAGATATGAGCAGCGTTTTCGTAGACAACAGAGTGGAGACTAGCTGGCTGTCGGTTTGTTCTAGAGCTTACAGGGATAGTGGGATTTTAAATTTTCTTTTGAGATTTCATCTTGCAGATTAGATCTCACTTTCACAGAAATCTTTGTTCACATAGCTCGTCTTGTTGTCGAAATGACAGCTCGACGGTTGTGGTTACTGGAACTAAGAGTACAGGGAACTTTCAGGATGCGAAGAGAACAGGATTCATCCATTATATCTGGGTGAAACTTTGGTTGATTACAAAGTGGCTGCTCTCTGTTCGCTGCTTGCTAGGTGAAATAGCTCCACTTTTCCCTCCATTCAAATGGAGCAGTGGATGCAGCCATTTAAAACTCTATGGTCATTACCACTAACTGAAGTGCTTACTTCGTGGCTAACGACTTTCTCTTGTTGTTTTTTGCTATCAAAATAGGTATGTGGACGCATCGTTGTAGGTCAACACACCACTAGATGGACTTGATGTGGAATGCGAAATACTCACAAGCTGTGCGACTGATCAGAGAATGGTACAATCGAACACAAAAGAGGGGTGATAAATGGATGCACCTGTCGCGCAAGTGTAGCCAAAATTTCGGTGGGCTTGTGCAACACAAAGCGATAAAGCAGAGTAAGATAAGTGATTCTTCGGATCAATATTTGAGTACCACAACGTGCACAACCAAACCAGCTACCGACGAGCTTGTGCAGGTCACGTGCCTCGGTCTATCACATGGTTTCTCAACAGTGTTTGGTTGACCAATCGAAAACACATCACAACGCGTCGCTGATACATTTCGAGTAGAATTTACTCCGGAACGCCTGATAAAAAGCAGGCGACAACTGTCGGTGAAGTATTTTGTGTGATCAACAGCTGTTCCAGTTTCAGGAAGCCTGAGATCTCATTAAAAGCCTATGTATTTGTAGAGATCAAGTAGTATAGAAGATACGGATCAATCTGAGGGCATGTGACTTGAGAATTCTAGTTGATGGATGACAGCCCGAACCTGCGTAGACGAACTTATCACATTTGACCGAGTCGTAGGCAAAAAGTACAGGTTCTTCTGGGTGTGAACTGGACGTGACTTTCACGTATGGCGTGTGGCCGCTCGTGCTTGCCTCACACAAACCATCGAAGGAAGCGCTTCCCCTTATCCAGAATATCTTTGGCAATTCCGCTTTCGCCACAGAAACGAATTATTCAGCGACAGTTTCCGCAGATCACAGTTTGAATGCTTGCACTGGAAACGGCCATTGACGACATGGACACGTGCGGCGTGTCGAAATGTTGGTAGCTCGGGGGGTTTTTACTGGTGGTTGGCCAGGTGGCTATTGATCGGTTCACCGAGCTCGGCGGTTCGATTACAATAAATCCAGAGTGATCGAGGAATGAGGAGTAAGAACCAAGAAAACAACTCTATTCGGCCCCAGCCGAATAACCGCCCATGCTCTTTTTCAATCGAAGAATTTATCTTCCATATTCATTGTTTACTTTTCGGAGCTTACCTGTTTCAGGTGTCTTACATCATTCGACCCGCGGCCATTGTGGCACCAGTTTCAGAGGAATGGAACGATGTTCATGCCAGCTTTTAGAATTGATGTAGATGACTATTCACAGGACCAGTGCAATCGCGTACGAGCACATTTATCCTCCACCGTTACAAACTGCTTCAAACTGGTTGCAGGCTAAAACTTTGATACTACCAAAACGCCACGAACTCAATCGTCTTTGACCAGCCGTAATTGAGGCATTGGCTATCGATCGGTTGCAATTGGTCCAGTGCGTTCAGAAAATCATGTGGCACACACATTCTTTTAGGTAAATATGTTGTGCCTAGTAACCCGAAATTACTAATTTTGAATTGTTTTCATCCTACTTATTTCGCCAACTTTGCAGTTTGCCCTGGTTGTTTGTATTACGATGGTGTGACAATTTATGTTATCGTGATGTATGCAAAAACAGAGTCAGGCGAACTCGAAGTTTCAAACTCAATTTTTTTTAAAAGCATCTCACATGTTACCTCACATCTTATTAAAATCAAGTAGGTGAAGTCAATAAATATACTATGTAAGTCTTAAAGCGTTTGGGTGTGAGAGACAACCATGATGAAGTTTTGACCCGTTCTCACGATCAGATTAGCGACAGGGATAGTTTGTCTGGACAGTCTTAGACATTTCTGAAAGACCTGACAACTTGCAGTCCATGGGCTTCAGATACCACCCGGTTTCCTGCGTGAGTCAATGTTCCCCACTGTGCAAACCGGTCTGTAGGCGCACGCTTCTGTGCTCGACAACATAAAATCCCTAACTAGCATGTCTAATCTTACAATGTCCACCTAACCAGTACGATTGTGCAGAAGGCTTTTGCCGGAGTGAGTGTTCCGGAACTTTATGGTCCTAAATGGCACTTCTGTCATTCCGGTTTGTGATTTGTTTTATCTAATGCCTAACTTTCTGTCAGTTAGCTAATAGACCCGGGTTTTATTTTTTCCGGAGTTGTAAGCAGAAGGGAAAATCAACAAAATAGGGAACTGATCCTTAGTTTCAAGAGTCTGTCAGATTGGAGGGTTTGAGTCCGTGCATCATCCGTGACAGCATCATAATATTATATGAGCAGATGATGGTTATGTGTGGATAGATGAAGGTGGTGGGTCTTGACATCCTAAGGAATGGATGGGACTAGGAATGTGTCGGATCACCGAAAGAAGGATCCGGGTACTACTCCCATAATGTGGAAATGAAAGATAATGAAGACATCCCTACATTAAACCTAAACTGACTTCCAGATCGCTAGGTCGAACATGCTCTACAACAATTTATTTGACCGTCTGATGAAGCACCTAAACTACTCGCTGAATAGCGAATATATACTCATTTGAAAACTAATTTGTTTTTTTCGTGCAATTCGCTTTCAAGTAGAACATAAGGTTGACGGAAATCCAGGGACTGCGCCTAACTGATGAGCCCCAAAAAGGGTGAAACCGGTTGTGGGCTGTCATCAACCTTATGGGTAGTACATTGCAAATACTCGCGGAATAATTCATATCAGCTATCAATCACTAAGATGCAGTGGAGTTGGGTGAAATTTTTCGGGTCGCAATTTTACTGCGTACCCTGTTTGACCGGGCTCTGATTCATAAAATAAGCTTGAATCGATTGTTGACGAATGCTATTCATACATCACCTGACCAAGACAGTTTGAGGTTCCAAGTGCTCGCTGAGACCATCTAACTTAGCGAATTGTCAGGATCTGGGTTAAATTGAGCACACAGCTTTCGGGACAGGGCTTGAAAAATCCGGTGTTCGGCTTCAAGTGGCTGGTACCTACCCATATCAAACACAGCGTGCTTTATAGTTCAGTCATGCCTTGCGCACCACATAGTGTATTTTTGGACCATCGAGTGAAGATTTGTCCAGCAAATGCCTGCAACCGGCGAACTTTTGCCCTGCTTACCTAAATTCTGTGGGTAGTGAGAAGCTTCCAGAAGTTTCCGGCCGCAAACAGGACACTGGTGTCTGTCACTCAACTTGCCCGAAATTTGATGGAATAAACTACGGAAGAATAAAATGAGCGAACTGGTAGTTTGAACACCCAACTTTAGGCCACGAGCGGTTAATCAGCAATGTAGTTGATCCTTATTTAGAAAAGATACAGCGTCACGCAGATTGACGGATACCGTAGTAATGACTGGGTTGAGTGAACAGTCTTGTTCATCCCGATGTAATGAATGATAGGCCGTCAAGCGCTTCAACAATAATGCTTTGCACCTGAGTGGTGATGCACACTTAACTTTAAAGGAGTCACTGCTTTCCCATCATGCAACAGAAATTCAACAGAAATGCACACTTAATCACTCCTCCAATCAATTTCACACATGCACCTACTATCCTCATCCTGTTTTGTCTGTCTAACAATCACGCGGCAACAGCGTGACATGGATACGACCTTGATGAACATGTCAACAACATGACCTTTTAAAGGACGCTATGTGATTTCCCACGTTCCACTCATTGCAACGACATATATAATAACAGAACAGACGCATCAGGCACACGTCAGAACGCGGACCAACTCAACACACCAACACAGCGTGCCTCAACTGCACGCCGCATCGGCCTCGGATCTAGCGTCAATAAACATTAGGTCACGGACAACAAGGAACAAGTGTGGCGATAATAATGTCAAGAGAGCATTCCATGCTTCCGGCCTCTCTCCGCTCAACCTCACCAAGGACTCGGATCTACAATAAACATTAGGTCACGGACAACAAGGAACAAGTGTGGCGATAATAATGTCAAGAGAGCATTCCATGCTTCCGGCCTCTCTCCGCTCAACCTCACCAAGGACCATACAAACTGTTGACTTTCACCAATTAGGGTTGTCTCGCAACGCACTGAGTTTCATGTAGTAATAGTAATGATGACTTCAAATAACTTGGCTGTTAGAATCATAAATCGTGGCTTCGACGACCCATTTTTAACTTGGACAGATGAAGGTTGGTTACATGCATTCACTCTGTAAGATCCAGATTGCTTCAATAAGTAAACTACTAGTGGACTGTCGAAGAGATTGCAGTATTCTCATGAATGGTGTATTACTTCTATTCGATATCCTGAATATAGTACCATCTGAAATATGAGTCAGCCTGGTTCCGCACATACAGTTGCCTAAAAACATAATAAACGACAGATTTAACTGGGTTCCAGGTGAGTCTTCTGCGAAAACCGAATTGGTGTCCAATTTGTTTAGTTTGGGCTCTAGTAGAATATACGGTTGA